CTCAGCTGTACGGATTCAAATCTACAACACAACACAAGACAAAGGCAAACCTCAAACCACTGTGCTACAGTCTGACTGAGCAAATCTTCAAACACAACTAAGCACACCCTCAAGGATGAATCATAAAGGAATGATTTTACTGCCTTATCCATCGTACTCCCATCAACACAACATTGTCGATGCTCAGTGTAACTAGAAGAAAAGCTATGAGCATGACAAAATACTTTGGAAGAGTAAATTGCATGACAAAAATCCACCAACGTGTATATAGGTATGCAGCCTTCTAAGCAAGTTCATCACGTCAATAATAACTTGGCGAACAGAGCGAACACATCTAATGGTTTGTTTGGAAGGATAAATATATACACCGTACTGCACATGCGCTGGAATTACACACTTCCGTCGATATTAAATACAGTGCGGAATATTTTGCACAGTAGATTGTTGATAGACCCAACACTCGATTGGTCTCTCGGTACTAGTTAAAACATCATTGCGAGTATACCCCTTACCAAACGTAACGCACCATGTAGCGTTGATGTGCACAGTGTGCATGCTAAAAAACCGATACTTGTTGAACAGAGCTAAGCCACACAGCCTGACCCGCAGACGGAGCCCACTACAAGAGGCTAGCTGCATCAGTTAGAGAGAGCAACACTGGACTAAATACACATTCCTTGAGTAATTTCATCCCATAATGGTGCACCGGTACATTGCGGAATATTTTGCGCAGTAGATTGTTGATAGACCCAACACTCGATTGGTCTCTCGGTACTAGTTAAAACCTGGTGGAAGTAAGCTGGTGTTTATTATTAACTCACATTACACCTCTTGAATGCTATAGAACTTCTATTTAGTAAGCTATTGGTATCGCTAAAGCTGCCTTGTGCTAAATAGCAGTAACATACCGTCGCTTTGTTCAACACTGTAACGCTCACTGCGCATGAACACGTTAATTAGACGACAATATAACTGATTTAAATGGCAGTTAATTAAGTCTGGGCATGCCCAACTAAAAAGAGTTGCTCAACTAAGACATGCACTAATATATACCTATTACACACACATCATTCTTCGTTTACAGTGCCCACACACTCTTTGTGTGTTGGACAAGAAGCCACCGAAACAACCTCATCCCAAGATGTTATGCTCAAGTGATCTCTAATACAGCCGTAAATCTCCAAGTCGAATGCTTCGCACATAACTTGCCGCATGTCCGACACTGCCCCTGATTATCTGTGGAACTCACAGCCCTATTAGTTGAGAAAACTAGCATGTTTCTATTTACCATGCTTCAATGAACATGTTTGAGTATTAAGGCTCAGGGTGACTTCAGAAACCGCATTCATTTGTTTTCAAATCTTGCCTGGCAGACCCAACACCAAAATTACTTAATTGCCAGCCAGTAATTAGCACTGACAACTTTGATGTGTTCGTTGACGTACTACACTGTCAGCTTGGGGAGAAGACCCGCTCTCTACTGCTCTTGAGCCGGGATTATGGTGGGTGCGTTATGCGTAGTCGTGACAATGCTTCATACAGAATCGTTATTTGTCAGTGTTTGGTTTGGTAATTAGGAAGCAGTAATAATTAGAAAATGAATATCTTTAGATGTGGTGCTACGTTACTTGAGCCCTTACAGGACATACAGCCACAGATATCGTTGTCACCCTGTTGTTGTCATGCACCGTATCACCAAAGCCCATCTGCCTAGCTCACTACTAAATACTAAATACTAAATATAAATACTAAAAAGCCTTCACCACAGCCCTGTCACTGTCTCTCTTGAGTCATTTATAAAAGTGATCCCAGTATTCCATAATCCAAGCTTCCATGTTCAGAACTGTTGAGCTGTTAGCAAAGGCATCGGGTCTACTAGCAGGCAAATAGCCTTCGGTACTGGACACACACAAAGATCAAGACATTCAATCGCTGTACATTTAGCACTTCATCATCATCATCAACATCAGCCGGCCTGGCCTTGTAAAGCGGTAAGCCATGTGAGCTTCTTTGTAACACTTTTCCACAACCGCCTTTCTTATGAAAAGCACCAAAGCGTAAACCCTCGGAGCAATGCACATGCACAGTACCACTAACTGATGAAGGGCTGGGCTTATGAGTATGCGCTTGCTCGTGATCTACCATTGGTAGCTCACGGAGAACCTGACAGTGCTAGATACAATAGTAGACAGCATGCGGGAGTTGATTCGTTGTAACTTCCTGTGCCTCCAAGGTACACAGAGCGAGTGAATCAGACTGAAGTAACCCCATTATTATAGCATTATTGCATTTGGCTCTTTCTTTGTTTTCACTTCACATCTCTCGAACGCAGTCGTTTAGAGAAATTGCTGTTTTCTAGCCCTCGTAGCTCTAAAGCCATTGGTATCGCTGATATGGTGTGTTGTATTCTGCAGCTGTTGACAAAAACACACACAGAGAGACAGACCAAGTACTGTAAACCTTCGCTGCGCATGCGAGCCTAGGGTTAATATATTGGCTGTCTAGCTCACAGAAACACTGTGGAAACTAAGCAATATACTTGGCATACGTTCAACAGGTAAACCCTCGGTCAAATACCGTTAAAAGCTACTTAAAAATAGGCAAACCTGAGGTAAAAACATTTTTCCAGATCCAAACAAATCACCAACAATACTCATACCCTGTGTGGAAAAAACTTGGGTAAAGCTACGCTTAAAAATAGAGATACATCCCAATAACAATATAATGACAATATGTATCATTTAAGTTACTGAAACTAACCGCGTTTTAACATATTTAACTCTTTGCTAAGTATAACATGTGGAGTATACAACTTCCATAATAATGCACACTCACTTACGTTACATAGGATGAAACTCATGAGTATGTTACTATTAAACTAACAGTGCTCAGTTTCTAGCAATAAAGGAATAAATGTGCAACGACAAAACATAGAGCAATTACTTCGTTAAGTGTGCATGAAATAGCACAATACATACTTGGGTATAATAATAGCAGGGTTGAAGCATGGTGCACCAATCTAGCAACAGAAGGCTCCGATGCAATAGCCCAGTTGCACGTAAGCGTTGCAGTGTGTTTTAATTGCCCGTGACGTCACGGCTGGGGTCCCGTTTCTCTGCGTTTTTGTATGGGCAAGTATAGGACTTGTGTTTTAAAACTCGCGCTACGCAAACGCGCTGTACTTGATTGGTAATTTCTGTATCAAGCACTGCACTAGCTACGTACCTGTTTACTAGTTGCTCTTTTCCCCAAGAAGTAGGAACTTTAATGCCTCTACAGAGCAGCAACCAGCGCAAATCAGGTACAGTATGCCGATTAAAGGGCTCAGAGAGGTCTGCTCCAGGAATATCGGCTGGAGACAACGTGACTTGCTGGATATCTGTAGCCATACGCGAAGGACCTCACGTTTCTCGTGAACGGTAAGTGCTACGCTCTCGGTTCAAAGTACTACCGGTAGGTCTGGAGTTCAACTTTTCGTGATGCTTCACTTAAAAATAAATACGGTATAACGTTTGCGTGGAGCGAGTTTTAAAACGCAAGTCCTATACTTGCCCATACAAAAATGGGACCCCAGCCGTGACGTCATGGGCAATTAAAACATTAATGAATTCCGATCGCCTTACGTGCAACTGGGGTATTCAATGTACATTTGTTAAGGTATGTAGTTACCTCCATAAGCGGGCCTTCAATTATATTCAATGTTCGTGGATACATGAGTTTATTCAGTCGGGCTTCTTCGGCGTCACCTTCAATGTACTTATCAACACCCTATAAAAGAAATATAATTATTGCCAAGTGTGGCAAACTATTGTACCAACACTGAAAATACAGGTATGCACATGATTAACAACAAGCATCGTAGGTGGAGGCAACTACTGATACGATTCGACAAACGCCCATTCCGGTCCCGCAACCCAATCAAAAACCGGTAAAACCTGCTCCGTACCAGTCTTCTCCCGCCAGCGCAACAGTACTAAAACACGGCTATGGAGGCTAAGGAAAGTAAATGGTAATTTGCTATTGGTTTCTTCACTTGATTTGGAATGCAGTGTAAAAATTGCCAAATTAAGCCAGTGTAGCGGCTAGCTTCTTGTACACGGTTGTAGAAAAGGTGGTTAATAGACAGACAAACACAGACACACATTTACAAACAAAGTACCATAACCCTCACTGTACATGAGCGCCGACTGCATTGCATATGCATAAAGTTTTATTTGCGCGGTGGTCATAAACTTGCAATCACAGAAAAAAATTAAAAGTACTGCGCAAACCCTCGGCGAACTACAGACGTGCGGTATTGCTAATTGATGGGCTGGGCTATTAGTATGCGTTTACTCGTGGTCTCTCGCTCGCAGAGAGTCTGACACAGGCTAGCTACAGTAGTAGATAGCATGCGGGAGTCAATACACGCACTTCGTTGCGACTTCTTGTGCCTTCAAGATACACAGAGCAAGCGGACCCAGTCGAGGTAAGCCTGTGCTATTTAGCATAATGGCTTGTTCACTTGGTTTTCACGCTATAACTTCAGAACGCAGCTTTTTAAAAAATGAAGCCTGTGTAGCGCTGAACCCGTCGGTATCATCGCTTTTTGGCCGGTTTGTTGCACGTGGTGGCAGAAAACGTGGTAACAGACACACACACATAGAGACAGACAGACAGACACACAGACCAAGTACTGTAACCCTTGCTGCGCATGCGCGCTGAGGGTTAATTATACAAAGAATAGCAATGCTCAACTACAGGTCTACATGCACACACAAGCTAACAGAGACACATGCTCGCCATAAAATTCTTTTTCTTTAGTTTTTAATTGCATACCTTCACATGCTATGTAAAATTGCGGTCTATAGTAATTTACTTTGTCACGTGATAACTGTGTTTTTTACCAATTTCTGGTGCTACAATCTACAATGCTGTCATTGAGTGATAAAAACCTGCCACTAGCTATATTGGGCAAAACAAACTGATCCGCTGTTGTATAGCATCACAAAAGACTGTTAGGTATTGCTTACTTCGCCTGTCCGTAGCAGACAAACGCCAAAACAGAGTTGTTCACAGTACATCAGTGCACCAAGATAAATAAAGGGGGTACTGCACAACATTTTTGGTATTTTTCAAACATCATGGGTTGAATTCCACGGCGCCTAAGGTATTTTGTTGAATTTGTGAAAACTTTGTTATAATGCCTCATTGCGCATACAAGTGCAATTGCGTTGTACGCGTTCTACAGTGATAGTCTGACAACTTGTTCAGAGGCAAAAAATTCCTACATGCCCTGCTCCATGTAAATGTAGCTGACAGCCTGAACATGAAACAGGGCATGTAGGAACTTCTTGGCTGCAAACAAGTTGTCAATAATTAAAGCACTGTATAAAGTACGCAACACAATTATGCACATATGCGTGAATGTGGGTGCAACTAATTTATCCACTCCTATAGAAATGTAAAGGGACCCTAACTTATGAATATAGTAACGACAAAGAGAAAAAGTCGTTTTCTTGTGGCATGCATGAATGCCGATGGTTAAAAACAATCTTCTGCTGTGAGATTCAAACTAAATACAAACCTTAACTAAGGAGTACTGCAGCCTTTCTTCTACACTGGAATTCCTCCAATCTTGCGACTCAACAACCTTCTTACCCTCAGTCCTGCATAACTGAAAGTCTTTTAGGTAAGACAGTGTAGAAGATGAGTTGTTATACTATGTCAAAGAAAATAATCACGGTGATCACTTACTCCTTTTTTTGCATTTAAGTGAATGATTTGTTTTAAGCATGAACGGTGAAGTAGGTCCAGCAACTACAACTATTACATAACATAATCTTGAGCTTTGCCTCTAATATATTTGTTAATACCACCGAGAGCCGCAGCTTCATTGTTGCATAACATCATATGCACTTACATGACATACTGACAAACTAACCTGAGCATAGGTAAGGAGCTTCTCAGTGCCTTCAGGATCAGTGTCCCAGATCAAATTTTCACACAAAGTAACCAAATCACCAGGAATATCTGTATAAACAGGCAAATTTCCAGCATTCACAATTCCCATGTCCATTCCTTCCTGCAGGAAGAGAAGGATAATATAGCTATACTATTTATTTGAGGTACTGTTACATACCTTCACAGCATGGAACAAAAAGACACTGTGCATAGCTTCACGCACTGTATCAATGCCACGAAAAGCAAAAGACAAATTTGACAGTCCTCCACTCACACGACAACCTGGTAAAGTTGACTGAAACACGAGTAAAAGAGATGGACAGGGATGACATCTTTATGTAATTATTTCACTTCACAACAGTAAGAAATATACTTCTTCATCATTTGTTTCATGCATGTGCAGCGAGGGTTACAGTACTTGGTTTGTAAGTGTGTGTCCTTCTGTCTATCTGTTGCAACATTTTTCGCCACCAGGTGCAATGAGTCAATAAAAGAGCGATACCAAATGGTTCAGTGCTACACTAAATTTAGTGAATTTCGTAAACAACTGCATCAGAGAGATCTTTATGGCATGAAAACTAAGTGAAAAAGACAAGACGCAAATTAGAATGGACCTCAACCACATGCTCTTACTCTACGTACCTTAGAGGAATTAGAAGTTATAACGCAGAGCTAGTATAAACCCTCGCATGCCATCTGATAGTCTAGCCAATGACAGACTCAGTGAACTTGCAAGAGACCACGAGCCAAAAATTAGTAACATTTAGCAGGAATAGGTTATAGTACTTTGTCTGTGCATCCGTTTGTCTGCTTCTGACATTGCAGGCTACAAAAGACAGACTGTGTTGGAGAGCTATAAAACACGAGGAGAAATAATAAATGCTAATGAGCAATGCCATTCCACGAATAGTGTGATAACGTGAAGTTACTCAGAGGAGAAGTATCAAGTTTGGCGTTGGTTACCTACTAACCTGTGTTGGAGAGAGAAACTGACATCGCCAGCTACCATTTGGCATGACCTAGCCAACGAACTAACTATGTTTTTGCACATGGATTGTGCATAGAGTGCATTGTGGCTACATACAGCTAGAGCACTGCACCGGCTGTTTGCACTATAGTGCTTTTTAATATAAGAAAGGGAGATAATATGAGGCCAGGTAAAGAGGGTTGAAAAGCACTAAAGTGCAAATCCTCTGCACACTAAAAATGCGTGAGCAAAAGTATGTGCGGTACCGCCAATTGTTGCCAAATTCCCACCCTTTTTTCTCCCTACACTTAGCATGGGGAAGACAGGTAATTACTAATTGAAGAAAAGGGATGGCGAAATATACCATGATTTTTAATATCTCACCTTTTAACAAATACTGATAAAAACACATGGTTAGTCTCTGATACTTCGCACTTGTGTTGGCTTACAAATTGTATCGCACATATGTAAGTTAAACTTCGTAGTTTAGAAACAAATGATGCATGCATTAAGTGACATTACTACAGTGGAAGGCTTGGCATTCTTGGAAAAGTGGAGCTAGCACACTTTCCTCTAGTCAGTGAGCAGTCCTTTTCTACAAATGACATGCCTGCAGTGACTTCAATGGGGTAAAACATTAATGGCTGCAAAATTTTGTAAAAAGAGAGTGAATTTATGGCTGAGCTACAGCAGAAATTCGGGGGAAATTTTTCAGACTTATATACACATTTATCAGACTCGTTAAGGCAAAAAGTGGCACTGGTGGACTCTGTTTTCATTATCAGCAGCTGTAATTTTCTTTAATATGGTACATAAGTGTGCCAGCAATACACCGTTATCATTCCCCGAAGCTGTTGTTTACATTAAAGTGAGTAAAAATAGAAGGATAGATCACAATACGAGTTGCTCAGGGAGCCTTAGCATGAGCATAATGAGTAGCATGCATTGATAAAGACTTTTATTCAGGTGTCTTTATCACGGGAAGGAGAACAACGTTGATAATATCTAACCCTGGCAACACAGGCATCTACAGGAATTAGTGATACTAATGTCATAATTCCTACATTAAAAAAACTATTTTCCTAGACTATGGCCTTTGAGAGTTATGAATCATAGAAAATTTATAAAGCCAACTGAGTGTGGATATGTATTATGGGTTTTGCATTTTCTATGCATGCAGTAGTAATGGATTTTGGCTCCTCAATGCATGTGGAAAACATCTAGTTTTTGAAACGAACAGTATATACACCTCATGCCCATTATGTTATGCCCATCCTTGTACAATAACAATATATACTCAGGTGGCTGCCATAGCACTAGGGCCATAGACCACGCACCCAGAACAATGGGCGGAATCGTTAACAAACGAACATACACCATATGAACATGAGGCATCTGTCTCACCTCCAAGACACCTCAACTCACCCCTTCCACCAGCAACACCCTGCAGCTCCCAAGACGCAATCTGAGACTGGGTCTGTTGCACTCTGGGATTATCGCCGTATAACCTAACTTTTCTTAGCTCCCAAACATCCAAAACAAAACCTTTAACAAGGCCAAGCAAAGAACCAAATTTATCCTCACACAAAGGATGCTTTTCTGAAACTATCAAGCGACTGGAAATGCTCAAACCCATCATCACCAACCTTCCCCTACAGGGCAACTAAGAAATTGCACCTAAGACTACTATACACTGGACACTCCCACAACACATGACTCACACTTTCACACTCATCATCACACAACAGGCACTCCTTCATCCCCTCCCTCCCCCTATGCCTATCCAGTTCCTCATTTAGCCCATGCGTGCCTGACCTGAACTTAAACATTAATCTAGACCCAGCATCACTTTCCTACTTCAACTCTACCACCTCGTTAAATGTCTTCAAT